TGGAGGCAAACAAATCATAAATTTATCACCAGTTCAGGGTATTTGAATTCTGGTCTTCTCCAATTTACTTTTCAGAGATCTCAAATAGCTATTCCCTGCATTCTGGTTTATTCAAGCTGCATTCGGTGAGAGAGCTTATTTTCACTGCCCTAAAAATCCTCTGTGCTCTGCTTATTTCTATCCCCTGCCCTTGGCAACCACTACTTTTTCATTCTGCAGTTTTGCTTTTTCCAGAATGCCATATAGGTGGAATCACAGTGTGTAGCCTTTTCAAATAAGCTCCTTTCACTCAGGAATATGAATTTAAGATTCCTCCATGTCATTTCATAGCATCATAGTTTATTTCGTTTTAGCACTCAATAATATTCCATTATGTGGATATACAGACCATTCATTTTGAATTTAAGTCTACCATCACACCATTTTTTTTTTTAATTTTATTATTTGACAGAGAGGAAGAGAGAGATAGGGAGGGAGAGAGAGCACAAGCAGGGGGAGTGGCAGAGGGAGAGAGAGAGAAGCAGAGTCCCCACCAAGCAGGGAGCCTGATGCTGGGCTTGATTCCAGGACCCTGGGATCATGACCTGAGCTGAAGGCAGACGCTTAACCCACTGAGCCACCCAGGTACCCCATACCATTTGTTTTCTATTTCTTTATGTTTGCATCTTCTTTTGAACTAAATCTTTTGCTTGAGATTCCATTTTATCTTCACTACTAGCTTATCAGCTTTATTTTGTGGCTTGATTTAAACTTTTTTTTACCTGTTCCTCTAGCGTTTACAATATACGTATTTACCATAATTTACCATTAAATTGCTTTATGTACAGTGTAAGAACTTAATCCATTTTCTCAGTTTTTTTGATTACTGCCATACATTTTATGTCGCTATGTTTTGAAACCCGTAATACATTATTTTTACTTTAGTCAATTATCTTTTACAAAATTAAAAAGTGAGAAAATAAAGTCTTTTTTTTAATTATTTTTTTAAAGGTTTTTTTTTTTTAATCCAATACCAAATGCTTTTTTTTTTTTTTAAAGGTTTTATTTATTTATTTGAGAAGGAGAGAATGAGAGACAGAGAGCACAAGAGGGAAGAGGGTCAGAGGGAGAAGCAGACTCTCCGCCGAGCAGGGAGCCCGATGTGGGACTCGATCCCGGGACTCCAGGATCATGACCTGAGCCGAAGGCAGTCGCTTAACCAACTGAGCCACCCAGGTGCCCCGAAAATAAAGTCTTTTTTAGGAACTCACACATTTACTACTTCTGACATTTCCCATTCCTTTGTTTAGATTCAAGTTTCCATTTGGTGATATTTTCCTTTCACTGGAGGAACTTACTTTATCTTGTACTGATGGTCTGCTGGAGATGAATTTTCGCAGTGTTTTTCTTCTGGGCAAGTTTTATTTAGCCTTCATTTTTGAAATATATTCTAAATATAGAATCTAGGTTGACAGTTTCTTTCAGCACTTTGAAAATGTCATTTATCATCTGGCTTACACAGTTTCTGAAGAAGATTCTGAAATTATTCTTCCTTTGTTCCTGTTTAGTTTATCTCTGGGTCACGGGAAGACTCTATTACTAGCACCATTTATGGGCAGCTGGTTTGCAGTATGCCTCGGTGCTGTTTTCAGTGTATCGATCTTACCTAGGGTTCACTGAGTGTCTTCAATCTGTGGGCTACAGCTTTTATCAAATGAAAAAAATTTGGCCATTATTGTATCTTCAAATATATTTTCTGCCCCTGCTTCTTTCAGGGACTTCTTTTATCACATTTAAATTAGAGTGCTTCATATTTTCCCACAGGATACTGTGGATATGTTTCTTTAAAAAATCTTTTTTTCCCCTCTCTGTGCTTCATTTTGGATACATTTTATGCTGCATCTTCAAGAACACTGGCCTGTTTTTTCTGTTGATTGCACTGAATGACATTTTCACTTCAGATATTATAATTTCCATCTCTAGAAGTTGTTTGGATTTTAAATATATTCTCATATAAAAGTATTTAGAATATGTTTCAACATGCTTGTGTGCTAATTTCATTTCCGGGTCTGTTTCTATCAACTGATATTTTCCTGCATTCAATGTTTTATTGGAAGTTTTGGCCATGATGATTTTTATGTTGTTCAATGTTTTTTGTTTTCCTTTGTTGCCAATAAAGTTACTTGGGTTCTTTTGTTTTTTTTTTTTTAAGGCTTGTTTTTAAGCTTTGTTAAGGAGCATACAGGTTAGCCTTTACTTTAGGGACAGTTTATTCCCACTATGAAGCTATGGTCTTTCTGGACTGAATAGAGTCCAAAAGGAGTTCCCACTCTAGCTGGTTGAAACTCATACCCCACAGCCCCATGTAAACTCAGAACTATTTGTTCACAGCTGCCCCGGATGCTTTGCTTGACCTCAGGCATTTCATCCTACATGCATACATCTTAGTTCTCCTCTAAAACTCAAGGGGACATTGTGTGTAGACTTCTGGAGGCATTTTCTGATTAGCATGTCTTCTTCAGTACTCTGCCTTGCAACTTCTGGCTTCTATTCATTAGTACTAGCATCAGAATTTTAGCAGGGTTAAAAAAAAGTGTTGTATTTCCTTATATAATCCCTTCTAGCTGAGAATGACCCCATTTTCCTTACTTTGAAATTTCCCTTTCAAGTCTTTCCCAGTTATATTTTAGGAGATTCCAAAATTTTGTGGTGTACTGGTCTTGCATTTAAATACAAGCACATATATAATGGCAGTGTAAGAAATACAGAATGTAGACAAGAAGGCAATATTAAAATCACACACCTCCTTCATAGTATTCTAAAAAAGCTGAATCAATTACTCTAAGGATTACTGGGTAATGAATAGTTAGGATTTCAAAATTTCACTAGACATAAAATAATATTTTGTTGTAATTAGGTAGGAGAAAATTCAAATGCTATCTTAAGTCTCCCTCAAGATTAAAACATGAATGAATTAGCACTACCCTTAAAATTTAGCATTAAGATAATAAAATGGTTACCATGAAGAAGAAAGCAACATTTTCAAGTTTCCAAATATCAATCCAAATACCAAAGCTATACAAAACCCAACCAACTAACCAAACAAAAACAAATGAAAATGTAATAAAATTTCATTTGTGTTCCCCACACTTCAGTTTTGCTATTGCTCAAGCTTTTTGGAGAAAGAGAAAATGACACCATCAAGGTTTTATTTCCATAGCATTGCAATCTTAAAGTGAAAACATGACAACAAGGTGCTGCTTTACTCTAATAGTGTTTATCTGCATCTACTAAATTCAATTTATGCATCAACAGTGAAATCAAACTATAATTGAATTTTATGGAATATTTTAAACATATATAGAACAATATAATGACCACCCGGACCCACCACTCAGTTTTGTCAAATCTTAACATTCTCCCACAGTTCCCTCAATCTAAAAGGAGTAATTCAGATCTATGGCACTGAACCCTCTTTACATTCCCTGCTCCTATTTCTCTCTCTCCTCAGGGGTAGCCACTATACTGAATTCCGCAGTTATCATCTTTAAGTATCGCTTCTTATTTTACTACATGTGTAGGTGTAACTGTTTCAATGTCTTTAAACTCCATATAAACAGTGTATTGTAGGAATTATTCTGCAACATTTTTTGCTTAATGTTGCTGATCTGATATTCACAAATATATGATTTATCTGTTACAGAGATTTTAATGTATGCAACTACCATATATCTTTTTTAATGGACATTCAGGTTGCCTCCAATATTTCACTTCTACAAACCATACTTTTGTTAAGATTGTTGTAGACAGGCTGAAGGGGAGATTGTTCAGAATATATGCCTAGAAAAAAACTGTGGTTATAGTGATGGATATTTATACATCTATACTTAACTTGATGGTAGCAAACTGTTCTCTGAAGTTGTATCAATAAAGACTATCAGCAGAAGAGTATAAAATATAAAAGTTCCATCTGGCTACACAATTACAGGCACTTAGCCTTGTTAAATTTTATGTTTTTTTCCTGTAGTGATGGATAAGAAACAGTTTCTTACATAGTTTTAATTGGCCTCTCTCCCTGGTTACTAGTGATGTTGAGTATCTTTTCATTGAAATTTGTTGTACATTCAGGTTTCATATAGTCAGAAAGCTTTCAGTGAAGGTGGGGGAGAACAACTTATATGTAATAAACAATTTAAATAAAAAAAGGTTCCCTAGTCAAATTCTAACTTTTGGAGCTAAGGGTGTAGGTACATAAGAACTGTAGGTTCTCATCAGAGTGAGCAATCAATGCGGTGTAAGACAGAGGAATGTGGAATTGGGCCGGTCCTTGAGCACCGTGTAAGATTTGAGCAGGTGGAGATAGTGGAGAGGCCCCTAGACATATATACTGAACACCATAACTACTGAATGGCATTCTCTTTAATTTACACTTCACTTCTATGGGTGATATTTCTCTTCAGTCACTTTGGAGGTGAAAGTATTTTTAGTTATGTTTGCAACTTAGTATATTTTAGTTACTGCTTAAAGAAAAGTTTTCAGAATTTTTTTGTGGTACTCAAAAGCTACATACTAAGGCACATTTTAACTGGCAGGAATTATAAATCTAATCTAGAGTTTTCTTTAAATCACTACTTTAATGAAATGATATGCCATCTAAAACTTATGCAGCTCTAAGAACATCTTACCTTACTTAGCATGTTATATTGCTTCAAATACAGTGGACACACAAAAAATCATTGTAGAATGAAGGAATATTGTTTACTTCAAAATGAGTAAGTCATTTCTCCCCCTTTTCTTTATCTGCTTTTTTTTAATTAAAAAAATTTTTTTTAGATTTTATTTATTTGAGAGAGAGACACAGAGATAGTGAGAGAGAGCACAAGTGGGGAGGAGAGGGAGAAGCAGGCTCCCCGCAGGGCAAGGAGCCTGATGTGGGACTCATTTCCAGGACCCCGGGATCATGACCTGAGCCAAAGGCAGACGCTTAAGCGACTGAGCCACCCAAGCGCCCTCTTTCTTACCTGCTTTAACTGAAAATGGCTTTTCCAATAGAAATATTGTTTGTTTCCAGTGTGTTCTGGCACTCTGGGGGCCCGTGGAGAACACGACCTGCATTCGTAGAGTTCAAAAGTATCTGGTTTTTAATATCATGCTACATTAATCTACTACATCAAATACAAGCTCCAATTGCTTACAACAGCAAAATGCTCATGATCAAACACCTTGGGGCACACACACAAAAAAATACAATGTATTTCATATAATTAATTCTTATGAGAAAACTCATGATACTTACCCTGCTGTGACAATCCTTCTCAAAATATATATCAAAGTAGCCAGCAATTGCCTGTTAAAAGAAAAAAAAGGGAATAGAAATAATTATTAAACTAATTACATGACATAACAATTAATTATTCAGTATTTCAACACATGGCAACAAGAAACCATTTCAAAGACTAGATACCTCTTAAATTTATGACAGGCCACTATTTTTTCCTGGAAAAGATGTTACATGTAAAAATAAAGTAATATAATTTGGCTTTCCCCCACAGAAACAATATAATAAGAGCAACAAGGCTAATCAAATAATCAATATGTGTTTTATTAGAGAAATGACTGTGGTAGACTACTGAAAAGTGAGAGACCACATTAAGGAAGAGGCCTCGGCCAGCCCCTAGCTAACCCATGCTCTCCCAAGGAGAGGCCGCTGTGCAAGCTGAGCCATCTTGGAGCTCTTTGCTCCAGTCAAACCAGACAACTGCAGCAGCCTGAGAGACCTGGGGTGAAACCAGCAGAAGAACTAGAGGATAAGTCCAGTCCAGATTGCAGAATCATACACAAATAAATCTAAATGATTGTGACTTCAAGGCACTCAGTTTTAGGGTGGTTTGTGACAAAGCAATAAATTTAACTTAAACATACTCTTTTATACAAAGATCTCATTTAATTTCTTCTGATCTTGTGCATCTAATTTTAAAGCAGAGTACTATGAATACTTTTGTGATGAGGTCAACAGAATTTTTAAATGTCACATTTATTTTTCCTGAAGATAAACAAAAAATATATAGTAGTACTCAAATAAAACTTATGTTTAAGCAAATACCCAAAGGAGAACCTCTGAGGTCACTCTAAGGATTACTGTGATAGTACAAAAAGGTCTCTAAAAGACGAATATTCAGATGAGGATATGTAATTTTCATTTCTTTTTGTTTAAAATTTAAATGATACCTTCCCTTTTTCTTTCACTAATGGAATTAGCTTAATCTATTTTAAAAGTGGCAATAAAAAAAGCTTATAAAGTGTTAAAAATAGGACACCGATGATTGAAAAATCACTATAAAGCTGATTTGTGTACTCTGCTGCTTTTTGTTGAGAATGTGAAGTTTTATTGATCTGTGAGGTTAATATGGATTGGGCCCAAAACAAGTTCAATATTTAACACTGAGGTTCATTATATTTTAGATACCAAGAGAGATTCAAAGTACTATTTATAATACTGTCAAATAGACAAATATAAAGCAATGCAGTACTCAGATACAGATTATTATAGAAAACCATCTAGTTAATCAGAACATTTCTAAAACATGACTTCTTTCAGCTGGTTTCCTGGTATCCCTCCACAGACTAATTCAACTGTTTTCTTAAATTTATTCCTGTATGCCAGTCTTGTTCACCAGTGTCCAGAGCAGTGCCTGGCCCATAGTACACAATAAACGTTTGCTAAAAGAATGTGATTATATACAATTCTATTATAATACTTACCATACTATCTTATAGTTAGTCGTGCTACCAGACTGCAGTGTTTTCTAAGAGCAAAGCCTATGTGTAATTCATATTGTTGTGCCCCTCACCTAGCACAGGTCTGTCAGATAGCAGGTTCTCAATAAATTTTAGTTAAAATTTTCAGTCTTCAGTTTCCTAAATTCAGCTAGTCTTATTATGTCGTCAGGACACTTTATGAAATCAGCGAGTAACTAACCTTAGATAGAACTAATAATTTTCAACTGAAAAAAATGGAGTGTGTGTGATACATATGGGGGAGGAGAGGAACCCTACTTCTTTGTATGAACCTGCACAAGTCTCAGCCTGACCTCTGAACTACAGGTTAGATCCAAATCAACATAACAAAGGCTGAGAGAATGGAACTAAAATCTGAATCACTGGCACAAGCCTCAAAAACCTAAAACCAACAAATAAAGATCTCAAGAACAAAGCAGAGATTTAAACCTCTACAAGTCAGACTAATCACTAAACAGCGTTTGTGCATGAAAGCCCAAAACACTATAGCAAATGTTTAGAGAACGAGACTGAGATGCGAACCACCCCCTGCCCAGACACGGTTGACAGAACTTAATGTTTTGGCTTTAACTGGTCGACTGCCCGCTCACACAAACATCAACAACATTCCCCAGATGATTATAATAGGGCTGAAAGGACACGCAACATAACATGCATAACATTCAGAACACAATAAAAAATTATTCAACATACAAAGAACCAGGAAAATGTCTTTAACTTTCAAGAGAAGAGCTACTGCTCACATGCCAATTATGGGATGGCCCAGAAGCTGGTATTACGAGACAAGGACTTTAAGACAGGAATTCTATGTCGTTATGAGGTGACAGAGATGAAGTTAGAGAAAACACACTGAAATGAAGCGAACAATAGGAATTCTCGTAGAGAAAAAGAAACTACAAAAAAAAAAAACAATGGAAATTTTAGAATTAAAAAACAATAACCAAAACAAAAAAACTCCCTGTGGTGAACTGCAGAATGGAGATGACAGAGAAAAAAAAATCACTGAATGTGAAGGTAAGTCAACAGAAAGTACCTACTTTGAAAAATCAGGGGAAAAAGATTGAAATAAAATGCAAAAGTCTCAGGGACCTGTGCATCTAACATACACATAACTGGAGGTCCAGATGGAAAAGAAAAAAACACTGGAGAGGGGAAAAACCTTTCAAAATTCTATATCCAGCAAAAATATCCTTCAGGAATGAAGGCAAAATAAAGAAAGTTTCAAGTAAAGAAAAACTAAAAGAATTCATTGCCAAAAGACTTTTTAAAAGAGATGTTAAAGGTAGTTCTTCAGGCTGGTGAGCAATAATACTGGGAGAAAACCTGAAAAATCAAAAATAACAGAAAAACAACAGAAATGATCAATAGTTTGGTAAATACAAAAGATTACCTTTTCCCTCTGAATTCCTTTAAAATACTTATGATTTTAAGTATGTCAAGTTAAACATGACATAACATCATTTGGTGGGGTTTTCCATATAAGCAGATGTAATCACAAAGATCAGTGAAGGGGGTTTGGCGGGTGGTTAGGAGGAGGAAGAATATATACATATACATATACAAGTGTTTATAAAACTGGGATGTGAAGAAGGCTTTTTAAGCATCACACATAGGCAGAAATTTAATATGTTTAAAATTTTAGTATCACAACCATAATAAGATATTACCTTACACCCGTCAGAATTGCTAGAATCAAAGAGGCAAGAAATAATACGCATTGACGAGGATGTGAAGAAAAAGGAACACTTGGGCTGTTGGTGGGAATGTAAATTGGTGCAGCCACTGTGGAAAACAATAGGGAAGTTCCTCAAGAAGTTAAAAATAGAAATACTATATGATCTACTAATTCTATACGGTATTTACCCAAGAAAACAAAACCACTAATTTGAAAAGATACATGCACCCATTTTTATTGCAGCATTATTTACAATAGTCAAGATATGGAAGCAACCTAAGTGCCCATCGATAGATGAATGGATAAAGAAGATGTGGTACATGCACACACACAATGAAATATTACTCAGGATAAAAAAGAATGAAATCTTGCCATTCAACAACATGGATGGACCAAGAAGGTATTATGCTAAGTGAAATTAGTTACAGAAACACAAATACCACATGATTTCACTTATATGTGTAATCTAAAAAACAAAACAAAGAAACAAAGAGACAAACAAAAAAACCCAGACTCATTTTTTTAAAGATTTTATTTATTTGAAAGAGAGAGAGAGAGAATGAGAGAGAGAAAGCATGAGCAGGGGGAGAGCAGAGGGAGCAGCAGGTGTTGTACACCCAAAACTAAAATGACACTGTATGTTAATTATACTTTAATAAAAACATTAATAAAATAAAAATTTTAGTGTCAAAATTAAAAGATGAAGAAATCTGAGAATATTTGTTATATATATATAATATATAACAAAGGGGCACTGTCTTTTGTACATTAAGCTACTACAAATTAGTAAGAAAACTGTCAAAAGAAATTAGAAGACAAAGCAGGAAATTTATAAAAGACAAATCAAATCATGAGCATTATAAAACATGTTTGACCTATTTAGAAAAATAAGTAAACTAAAACAATCAGATACAATTTTCCTTGATCACGATGGGGAAAACATTTTTTTAATGATAATATCCACAGTTAGTGGGAAAAGTAGCATGCATACTGGGAAAATAAACTGAAATAACCTTTCCAGAGGGAACTTAGCAATACATAATAGAAGACAAAACATTTATATTAAAAAGAAGTCACCTTTCTCTGCATCCTCGCCAACATCTGTCGTTTCCTGACTTGTTAATTTTAGCCATTCTGACTGGTGTGAGGTGGTATCTCAGTGAGGTTTTGATTTGGATTTCCCTGAGTATTTACCCCAGAGATACAAATGTAGTGATCTGAAGGGGTACGTGCACCCCAATGTTTATAGCAGCAATGTCCATAATAGCCAAACTATGGAAAGAGCCAAGATGTCCATCAACAGATGAATGGATAAAGAAGATGTGCTGTGTGTGTGTGTGTACACACACACACACACACACACACACACACACACACACACAATGGAATATAATGCAGCCATCAAAACCCCGTAATCTTGCCATTTGCAAAGATGTGGATGGAACTAGAGGGTATTATGCTAAGCAAAATAAGTCAATCAGAGAAAGACATGTATCATATGATCTCACTGATATGAGGAATTCTTAATCTCAGAAAGTAAACTGAGGGTTGCTGGAGTGGTGGGGGGTGGGAGGGATGGGTGGCTGGGTGATGGACATTGGGGAGGGTATGTGCTATGGTGAGCGCTGTGAATTGTGTAAGACTGATGAATCACAGACCTGTACCTCTGAAACAAATAATACATTAGATGTTTAAAAAAAAAAAAGAGAGAGAAGATAGTAGGAAAGGAAAAATGAAGGGGGGGGAGATGAACCATGAGAGACTATGGACTCTGAGAAACAAACTGAGGGTTCTAGAGGGGAGGGGGTGGGGGGATGGTGAGCCTGGTGACGGATATTAAAGAGGGCACATATTGAATGGAGCACTGGGTGTTA